GATGATGTAGACAAAGTTTTCGAATGTTTTTCATGTGGAAGAGTGTGTTGACGACAACAGTTTATAAATGGGTTTGGGTGTCTTTCGATGATAGTCTCCACTCGTGTGTGTGTCTCTCTGATGATATCAGTGCATTTCGAAGGTGTTTTATGGATCTTGCCAGTTAGTCAAATTCGGTTTTTGAACGCACCATGAACGATGACTAACGAGCAGTACAAACATTGAGTGGGATTGTACGCGTGTATTCAAAACTTTAAGAAAAAACTCATTTCGGGGGAACAGATGGTAATAAAATGAATTCGGAGTGAAAAGAATGACAGCTTTTATACTTTACAGATCTCTAAGCGATGGATGGGTCACAATAGGTTTTTGGACAGGAGAACTGAACGTTTGTTGATATCGTTATGAGCCCATGATTCTCAGAAAGATAATCAATATAATTTTGCGGATTATACACTTTGTCAGTAAATAAACACATTTCGAGGCATTCAGCGAGACTTAACGGTATAGGGGCCGATGTATATGTTCATTTCAAATGTCTCAAATTTTTCATGGCGTTTTATTGATCGATCGATGTTTGATATCTCAATAGAACATCGTGACTAAAGCCAATGCATGCAGAAAAAATATGAGTAGCTGATAGAAAGGGTAAAACGAGGAGGGGGGGCAGGGAAGATACCCCTCAAAAGAGAACATCAGAAGTCACAGGACGATTTTAGGCATACGAATTGCCACATCCTGTCAAAAAGGACACAATTTTTGAGTGAACAAAATGGTATCGTGTGGGGCAACGAGAAGGAAATGAAGCAATTATTGTATATTATATTCGATTGATTCTGTGACAACACACGGTAGAAGGAGTCTCTCTAACTGTCTGAATTCATTGGTTAGTTACTATTCATGGATCACAGTATTTAACAACTACATTTGAATCAATCCCAAGTTTGCCGTATTTCGACTATTCATTAGTTTGAATTTTGGCTTGATTGAGCACTGAAAATACCCAATATGCAACATCCACGAGTGAACGTGTATACTGATGATTGTGTTCGTGCTACCGATCGGAACCAGGTTCATAGGCATCCAATGGGAATTTATTAAATACTCAGCTATGCGATTTATCCATTTGATTAAAAATTTGGATTTAATTACTCGGTCACGTTCACATCTCGTTTATTACATGACAGCGATAAAGTGCGAGAGAACTACAATTGTGTATTAGTTTGTCAACCTCTTCTTTCCTTGTTTTTATCACTGTTATCACAATATATATTCCGTTCACTTATTTTTTTCAAATCAGTAAGCTGTGCTTTTACGCAATATTTAATTAGAATTTAATTTGTTTATTGATTCCAAGTGACTATCCTTCACAAGCAACTGTGAGTTAAATGTGAATTATCAATCCAGCCTTGTTGGTTCGTTGGCAAATCAGCCCGTAAACTGCAT